AGTGAAGGAACTCGACGGCCTCGCAGCTCGAGATGAAGACGATGAGTTTGTCGTTCTGAGAAAACTGAAAGGAAAACATCGAGGACCCATCAGATTTTAGCTTTCCTTTTTTCCTTCCTGCCTTGTACTTATCGTTATGACCACTTCCGGACTGTTCACCTTGCATTTGTCCAGTATGAAAGCAGCCAGGCAGACCAGTCTGACCTTACTGGGAACCACCACCACAAACTGCTTCAGAGCCTCAGGCACAGCAAAGCTCTCTGATTGGCTGGCTCCTTCGGGGTCACATGTTACAGCGGAGGTGGTGGAGCAGGGAGCGCCAGACACATGGATGCTGACCGGGTCGTTTAAACACACGTCTGCTAACCGCGTCACACCTGAAACACACAGAGGCTGTTATACTGCCCTCTACGGGCCGACGGAGGAACTACAGGAGGGGCAGCACAGCGGTGGACTTGCCATTTGTGAGCGTCGCAGAGAGCAGCACGTTCTGTCGGGCTGGTCCCGCAGAGTTCAGGCTGTTTAATATGACCGTCAGGTCCTTCTCAAAGCCGAGGTCCAACGTCCTGAACGCACACATGGACATAAAATTAAGTCCACGCTGCAGGAGGGCGTCGATCAAAGGGAATCGGAGTCAACTACGCCTAAGAGTTACCGATCGGCCTCGTCCAGGACCAGCCAGCGGACGGCGCTGAAGGCGATGCTCAGGGTGTTTTTGATATGGTCCACCAGACGTCCAGGAGTCGAAACCAGGATGTTGATTCCTTTACGGATCCTGAAGACAGAATAATATTGTTACGACAGCATCGCTTCAGACGCCACAGAGCAGCTGAGAACAGACTCCAGCAGCCCCGAAAGCTTCACATCTCTAAAAGCCTGGATCTGAGCTCTGCTGAGCGCCACACAGCTTTGCTCTTTTTCCAGAGCTGACGAACGAACGTGCTTTGTGATCACACCTGGCCTTCTCCGCTTTCCTCTTCTCTCCTCCCATCAGGACACCCGGGACGATCCAGGTAAACGGCTGCAAAGAGAGAGACACACCTGAGAGCGACTCATGCAAAGCTCTCGTCACTGGCTGACCCCACGCAGTGACGCGAGCACTTCCCGAGGCGTCCGGCTGTCATTCCTGCTCCCGTGTGGACGTCAGGAAACCCACCGCTGTGCAAACATCGACTGCAGCGCTAAGCACACTTTGCTTGGCTCGTCCACATGTCGGCCGTTGCAGGGTGGCAAGCTACGCTGCACACTTCCTTCATTACTTTGGTCTCTGATGTTGTGCCGCATTCTAACGTTTGACTGTGTTTGGTGGGTTTGTCGTGTCTGTGGTGGGACCGGAGCGTGTCCATGTGACAGAGGTAACAACTCGTTTAGAATGAGCGCCTCCATCTGCTTTAGGGACTTTAACCATAGAGTACAATATGAAACAACAGCTGTGAATACTGTGTTACCTTCAGAAGCTTCTGGAAGGTCTGGAAGGTCTGCTGGGCGAGCTGACAAACAGAAGAGCCAACCTTCAGCGTGTGAACAGGAAGTCACGGATGACACTACAGTGAAACGTGCTAATCTGACCGAACCTCTCTGGTGGGGACGATGATGAGAGCCAGAGGACCATCTGACCTGCTGACCTTCGGCTGAATCGACTGAAGACTCTGGACCAGCGGGACGGCGTAGGACAGAGTTTTACCTGCAGACACGTTTGGGTGGCTTTCATTAGGACATGTTGCTAAATGACTTTCCTCACAGTGCAATCTAATACAAACCTTCTTCCTCGTTACAGAGAGTAGTTCTGATCCTGTACGTTCATGTTTGAACATGTGACCTTCAAAAACAACACGACGCTGCAGGAACTAAACTGGGCTGCATCGATATGCACATACGATAAACACCCACAAAAGGCCCGCAGACACACACATTAACAAGCCCTGACTCACCTGACTCAGGAGGTCACCTGGACACCTCCTGAGTCAGGTGACGTGTTTTATGTCCACCCAGAAGGAGACCCTCTCACCTGAGAACACCTCAGTGTGACTGATCGACCCACAGAGACCTGCTGTATCAGGTACGACAGGTGACTCACCTGATCCTGTCTGAGAGCGGACCACAGCATCGCGTCCCGCCAGGAGAGCTGGGATCGTCTGCTTCTGTACACTGCGTAAGTATTTTAAAAAACAAACAAAACAAAACAACAACATTGCAATGTCCCTTTGTAGAGTTTATACGTTGATCAGGTCACAGTCAGGTGTGTGTGTGTAAAAACCAACCTGGTGAGTGTAGAAATATTCATGACTTTGTTCAGAGTGGCCACCTAGAAGACAGAAACAGCCAATCAGAGCAGCTGACAATGGAGCAGCGATGCTGAACGTGAGACAGACGAAAGTGTGTGTGTGTTACCAAGTGAGGGTGCAGGTCGAGGTCTGAAAACGAGTCGGAGGTAAAAATCTTCTCCTTCAGCTGAGCGATGGCTGGTCTGAAGGAAAGAAGACTCCAAATTATTGATTACTGATCACTCCGGAACGTTCTGCAGTCTGAGCCAATCAGAACCAGCCGAGAAGCTGGTTCAATGAGCCAATCTGAGGCGGAGCTGCACCTGTGGATGTCTGGGATGTCAGGGTTATGTTTGAACAGTGAGGAGGTCTTGATGCCGCCACGTCCCGTTTCCTTCGCTCCATCCTTCTTCTTCTTCTTCTTTGGGGTCCCGTCTGTCCCGTCACTGGGTGGAGCCTAAAAAATAAAGACAGTTCATATGGTGACCCCTGTGGTCATGAAGGGAACTGCAGCCTTTATTCTGTGGCTCTCTGCAGTTGCCATGGGCGAAAGCTGTAACTAAGAAGTGAGGTTAGCAGGTTAGCAAGCTATGATGACATGAAGGCAGCTTCCCCTGTTAGATCACCATGGTAACGGCTTCTGAGCACATCACCTGGTTCAGAGTTTGTGTTTAAAATCCACGTTCTGATTGTGTTGCTGCCTCTCGGTGAGACAATGTTGCACACATGAATCAGTCACTAACCACCGAATCAGCTGTTCCTCTGATAACAGTGGGCGGAGCTCTGCTGATGCTTTTCATACAGAAGAAGAGTGAACAGGCTGAAAGCTGAAGGGCTTAACAGAGACAGCGGTTTGGATTTACTGAGCCGGCTAACAGAGGAAACCTGGATCTGCACCTGCAGGCTCCTCCTCCTTTGCTGCCACCTGCATGAAGGAGCTCCTCCTCTTCTCTGCTTTCTGCGGCACCTCAAAGTCACAGAAACATCAAATGAACGCACTGAGAGAGAGACAGAGAGAGAGCTCACCCATGGCTGCTGAGCCTTCTGACGTTTCCGTTTGCGGGATGGCGGTGATGACGTCATGTCGCTGGAGCTGTTCCGACACAACTGTTCATCGGAAGATGACATCATCAGAGGTGTGCGTGTGTCCACAAACTACAGGTAAACACAGAGCTGTGAGTCACTCTCACACCAAACTCCATTCACAAACAGTTTGAAGAAGAGCTTCTCTTATTGGTTCAGCTGCGCAGCAGTTTACCTTCAGTCACGTGTAAAACAGCTGTGAGTTAGGCCCACGAGGCGCTTAACCCACCACAGAGCGGCGTGTTTAAAGTTCGACACGAGAGCGCGCGCACACACGTGTCGCCCCGCGCGGCTGCTACCGTTGACCTGATGCTAACAGAAACTTCCGGTCTGCGAAGACCTTTCAGATTAAAAGAAAAAAATTAAAAAGAGGAAAACGAGACAAATAAATACTCACTGTGAAACTCTCCACACGTACAGACACGCGTGATTAATGCTTCCTGCTACGTCACAAACCCCGCCTTCTCCGCTCAGCAGCTGATTGCGTGGACATGCGCAGTAGCGTCATCTCATTCCGGATACACACTCTAGTAATAAGGGAGACTGCCTGCGTGTAAAAAACACTGACATACTTTGGATGTTATTATGAACATTTATATCCTTAAACTATTTCAGGGAGTCAATCAGAGGGAGGAACATCCTGCTGTCAGCAAGAACACTGGAGGGTCGGGCGGGCGGTGCAGCAGGTGTGGTTTGAGCCTCCAAGTCACACTGCAGGTGAGCCTGCAGGTGAGCCTGCAGGGAGTGCAGCTCCGGCCTCCTCCAGCAACACTACTCCATGTCCACCGCTCGCAGCATCCTCGTGGCTCTGCCGTCTGAATGGTTTCAATAACTTCCCCGCTCAGCTCCAGAACCTGGTCCAGATTCTCAAGGAGAAACTTTCCTCCAATCAGTGCCGTCAGGTGGACTTCATGGCAGGAGGAAGAGGAAATGAGGACAAACTGTCCATCATCCATCAAACGTCCCCGTTCCCTCCTGCTCCACGTCCTGTTGTCAGCAGGAAGGCTTAAAAATAGAGCTGTCAATCAAACAGCACGCCCGGCCCCGCGGGGCCTCAAACCGCCGCGGCGGAGGATTAATTATAGTCATTTACCCAAATCACCGCTTTGAAACGGCGGCGAGCGTCTGAGTGAGGTTTCAATCTCGACTTCAGAGGTAAACGGAGATATTTTAACATGAAGGCGTCCTAAACTGTGATTACTGCTCTCACACGGGAGGAGACGGCAGCGAGCTGACAGAGACGTCAATGGCTGTCAGTCACGCCGAGGCCGCCGACACACACCGCCATCAGAGTACTGATACACTACTGATGCTACTGCATAGTAGTCAAACTATTACTTGTACTACAATGTACTGATGCTCGTAGTACTGAGCATGCTCAGTGCAGCTGAGTGAAACTGTTGTTGATCTGTGAGATCAGCTGACTCGGACACCCACAGGTGCTCAGTGTGTGTGTGTGTGTGTGTGTGTGTGTGTGTGTGTCACAGTCGTGCTCAGGTTTCCCCGAAACTTCCGTCTTTATTTGTTTCTGTGATTTTAGTGAAATGTGCTTCAGACTTTTACTGGAAAACAAAACACACGGGCGAGTGGGCGGAGTCAGTGAGAGCAGGTCAGGTGGGAGCTCTGCCTGAAGAGAAGCATAACAAACACAGGGAGGAGCAGCACATGCTTTATTTTTACAGACAATCATGTGACCTCAGCTTGTTCAGGTGAGTCCAGGTGAGTCAGAGGTCACTCAGAGGTCAGCCTGCTCGCCACGGCCTCAAACACAGAGTGAGGGTCCTGATCAGCATTGATGTGAATGGCCTCAGGATAGACAGACTGACACACACACACACACACACACACACACACACACACACACACACACACACACACACACACACACAGTTAGATTTTCACCTGCGGGTTACAGCTCATCTTTGCTGCTTGTTCTGATCTTATGATCCATGGGTTTAAATCACAGCTTTGTTTTTGGCCTTTTAGTCTTTGTTGTTGTTCCTAATGTTTTGCCTCCATCTCTCTCCTGTGTGTGTGTACCTGCAGGGCGGCGCTGTGGAGCCTGTACTGTTTCAGTCTCTGTGTTACAGACTCCATGCTGTCCTCAGGTCGGGTCTTTAGTCTGTGCTGAACCTCAGAGCTCGGAGCTGGCCGAGTCACAGGATGGAAGCTGCACACACACACACACACACACACACACACACACACACACGGTCAATACCACCACTGCACCATCAGCACTGTGTGTGTATTACATCACAGGGCCGACAGCATGATGCAGACGTGTTCTCCCTGCAGTGGGAATTTTCCCGTCACAGGTAAATCTGAGTTCCTGACCTCTGACCGCTGACCGGGTCTGTGGCTCTCAGACTGAGTCTCTCCAGGCAAACGTCATCGGTCAGCTCCAGGAAGAAAACCCTGACAGTAAGAGGAGGACGAGACGAGAATGCGAGCAGGTTAAAAGGATTTCAGAGTTTTCTGGAGAACGGCTCCGTGAGTACAGTGAGCCTGTACCTGTTGGGCTGCTGGTGGCTCTCCTGCAGGCTCCGGGCCTGCTGCAGGTCGCAGGGGAAGCCGTGCAGGATCCAGCCCCCGCGGGTGCAGTCGGGTCGGTTCAGCCGCTCCTCCAGGACCTGCAGCAGCAGCGAGTCTGAAACTGCAGCGACAGCGGGGTTAGTGTTGCCCTCTGGACGCTAGCGCACACGGTCACAGCCGGCCGCGCCTCGGCAGTGACGGTCGGAGGCTTACGTCAGCTCGTACTGTCTCTGCCCCCTCCCTGATTTCTTTTTTGCACATTAGTCACACCATAAACATGTCCAAAAACCCTCTGGATGGTCCCACACACTTGTGGGAAACCTTGTGTGGACTGACGCGAGACGAGCGGCACTTTCTGGAAGGTTTGATAGAGAACATCGCAGCCGCAGGCAGACATGAGTGTGTGCTCACCTGGACGTCTGTCATCCAGGTACGCCTGGACCTCTGCTCCTCGACTGGAACCAGCTGCAGCTACAGACCTCAGCAAACGACCACAGCTCACTGACACACACACACACACACACACACACACACACACACACACACACACACACAGTAAAAAGTGAAAACAGTCTTCGTCATGTGACCTTTGGCCATTCTCATTACTTCCTCCACCTGAGCGAAACCTCAGATTTCACTCTGACCTATATGTGACCTGACAGGACATGCTTTTCATCAGTGTGACCTCTGACCCTTTAAGGTCTCTGTCATATCTTTACATGTTACAAAGAGACTGTGGCAGGTTTGTATTTAGCAGCTAGTCGCCCGGAGCTTCCTATTGGATGCACAGTGAGCCTGAGCTGGTGTCCCTCAACTGTGACCCCATCCTGGCTGCGTACCGTCCACCATCCCGTACTTCTCTGACAGCAGCTGGGCTTGACGGCTCCTTCCAGACCCCGGTGGTCCCAGCAGGAGGATTCTGGGAGTTCTGGAGCGCTGACGAGTCCGGACAAAAGCCAGCACTAAGAGAAAACACACACACACCAGTTAATGCTTTACCTGAATCAGCAGGTAGATCACAGAAAGAACGAGCTCAGGTGTACAGAGCACACCTGAGGACAAGATGCTGGAGCTGCCTGCTCTGTGACTGTTTCACTGAGGCATCATTAAAGAACAGTTTCATTCCTGCAGCACCGTTCATAAAGTTCATAAGGCCAAGCGCCAAGTGCTTAGATGTGTCCGAGGCTCCAGCCAGCAGGCCCTGATCACATGACCTCTGGGACCTGCAGGATGTAGTTCAATCATCATAGAGTCCAGGTCCCCTCAGAGTTCCTGACAGAGGATTTAGTAAACGGAGCAAGGGGACCAAGAGCCTCCGTCAGGGGCACGAACAGGGCCTCCAGCTTCTTCTTCATTAAGATGGAGAAAAACTGTCAGACATCCAACTTTTAATAGAGTCCAAGCACCTCTGCAGGATCTGGACACACGTCTCGAGGCTTAGAGCAAAAAACACCTGAATATCATCTGCATAGCAAAGCTGCTCAAAACGTGCTGAAGACGAGCAGAACCAAAACTGTGGCACACCGCAGGTCTGAGAGGGAGGAGCCTGAACCTGGACTCAACCACAGGAGAGCATCGTTCACACCGATGATGCAAACACTCCTCACTGACCAATCAGCATCTGTGTGTGTGTGAGAGAGTCTGTACCTTGCTGGTAGATGTCAGCGTGTGGTTGGTCGCTGTCGATGACCTTGAGCACGTGCTGATAGGCTGATCTCAGACCCGTGACCTCACAGCAGTAACGGTGAGGCTTAGCAAGTCTCTGTTGGTCTGTCAGACTCCTCCCCTTCTCCAGACGCTGAGTGATAATGTCATCATCTGGCAGGATGAAAGTCCGATGGTAGATGTCTGCAGACAGGAAGTGATGTCACAAGGAAAGAACATATTCACTGATGTTTGATTATGGGCGTGGGCTCACCCCCAGTGATTGCGTCGACCAGCCGTCCGCAACTTCTCTCCATCAGCACGTCATCCGCCGCCTCGAGCATCACTGATGACACATACCACAGCGTGATGTCACACAGGAAGCAGCCGCGCAGGGCACAAAGCGTGATCTCACTTCCTGTTACTTACCAACGTGCTCGGGGATGACTCCGCCCTGCTGCAGACTCAGAGCCTGCAGGCGAGTCTGAGGGATTCCCTCCAACACCCAGCCCTGCAGTAACACACACACACACACACACACACACACACACACACACACACACACACACACACGCACAGACGTCAGGCTGTGTGTGTGTGTGTGTGTGTGTGTGTGTGTGTGTGTGCTGGTCCAGAGGTCAGCATGATCCCATGCTCATGAGCAGGTGATGCGTTCAGTCTGTCTGAAGAGTATCTTCAGAAGCCTCCGTCAGAGCTCCAACTCTGAGCTTCTGCACGTGTCTCTGATTCAGTTCAGCTTTATTGACACAGAGCTTCACAGAGAAACCCACCAATCAGACCCCTCCATATGAACAAGCAGGAAGGAAACAGGCAGAAACCTCCAGCAGAACTGGGCTCAGGGAGGGGCTGCTAAAGGGTGCACTGTTAGGGGTGTGGCCTGTTAGACTGACAGGTGCCTGCTCTCTGTTCTGTCCCGGTTCTGTTGGAAGCTCTTGGAAGTGTGTACTAACGTTCATCTTCACCTGCACATCCACGCTCCTGCCGGACGCAAAGTTGCACAATTTAATGTGACAGCAGCAGGCGGCGTCCTGACGGGACCTGTCAGTCATCCTCAACACACACACCGACAGAAACATCACACAAACACACACACAGACGGTCCCTGGTGTGTGTGTGACGAGTTTAGCCTGCAGCCAAAAACAGCTATTAGCAAATCAAAGAAGCTGCTAATGACACACACACACACACACTCTCTCTGACGGGTGGAGCTGTCTCAGTGAGATCTTCGCAGGAGTGAGTCTCACATGAGAAGCTGAGATGTGACGAGCCGTGTCCATCTTTCGTTTACAGTCTGAGGTGTAAACAGCTTCTGTTTGTTCTGCTTCTCTGAAGTTTTGACACAAAACGTTGTTAAAGCTTTGCTCGCTAATGTTGCAGCAGAGCAGTTCAGTATTGGCGTACCTGTCGAAACCAAGTGAAAGCAGAGTAATAAAGATCAGCCGACCTGTGGCGGTGGCTGAGGGTAGCCGAGGGCAGGCAGGTATGTCCTGAACCAATCACAACACATGGTTCTTTCTAGAGATGGCACGATACCACTTTTTTATGTCCGATACCGATACCGATATCATAAATTTGGATATCTGCCGATACCGATATGAATCCGATATAGTGTTTTTTAATCAACAAAACTGTTTTTAAAATATCTTTCTGCATTTTGTAT